TAGGTCATGGGAGAGTGACGTAATTGACGTGACACACACACTGCAGAGTGACAACTTTCTAGAATGGCGGAAAAAAGGATTTCGGATTTTTTTTCTCCAACAAACAACCCAATAAAAAGAGTGGACCACCAGCTACTCCTCAGCCCACCACCTCTACAACTAGAGTAATATGACACACAGAAGAGACTGACACATCTGACTTTGATGCATGTCCATAGTAACATTTTGGACAATGTGGATGTATCTGCTCTAATGAGGGTCTTCATTAGTGCCACCCCAGAGAGGAAGGCTACATTTGGAGTTTTGTGAAGCCCCAACACAAGGTAAGACGATATTTTCCTTTAATGCTGCTGCCGCTGTGCAGTGTTTTGCCTTGTCAATCAGTTAAAATTGAATTCATAGTTTTATTAATATTGTAAATAATATTTTCTGACTATTTGTAATGTTATGTAGGTTTGTAAGACCCATAGTTAGCGTGTGGGCATGTGCAGCTGTTGCTAAGTGATGTAGGTCTATAATGGTTTATTAAGCATAACAGTTAAGGCGAGACACCCCAGGTGAATAGGGTAATTTTTTTTAACTTAAAGATATCAGCTAGACATTTCTCCAGTTAATTACCTACAATAAGGCAATTGTTTCTTGTATTACAAGTTTTCTGAATATGCAAATGATCCATTATCTCATTAATAATGCGCATATTTTTAACACATTTCAGGAACCGAAATCTGAACTTTGGATAAAGCCAGGTTCAAAATTATTGTTTCATTTTGTATTCATATTAGCATCCAAGGCTTTTACAGAAAGGATTTTGGATATATCTCTTTTTATCACTCCATAAATCAGAAAATACTGTTAACAGCCCTAAAATATCAATTTTCGCCATGTTTTTAGGTATACAATATTATTTAATTCAGGCTATGAATGATATATGAACAAACCCTTTTGTAAAAGCCTTCATAATGTTGATAGGAATATAACTGGAAGGTTTGGTGTATGTAAGTGCAACTGAAGTGGACATTTCGGAGAGTAGGAGAAAAAACTCATTTTGAGAAAACGACCTTGAAAGATTGCAGTGTGGCGCTAGCTAAACCCTCCTGTTCTTTGGATGACAGCTTGCGCCTCGACGCACTCCGTGAAGGTATTTCATGTTCGGGGTCATTTGTTTTTTGTATAATCTTGCTTCGTGCAAGTGACAATTGTTGTTGTCTTCTCTGTGAACGTTTTTTTCGCCGTTCTTTTGCCATTTTGAGATTTAAATTTCTAGCGGAAAGCTAACCAGGAAGTGTTTTAGCACACCACGTGACGCATCTGAACGAATCACGTTGTCAGAAATTGACACCAGCCAATGAGATTTCGTTTCTTGGTTTAAGACCCCTTTGTACTTTCACGATTGGTTGCTGATACAAAGGAAATGACCATATTTGGATCCGATGAGATTGTGCAGGAGAGACAGAGCTTTCCAACGATATCTCTGATGACATGGTGCAAACAGCGGTCGCGGTACTTTATGTTACGTTAGAATGCTAACTTTTGGTGAATTTAGGAGAAATATACAGACGCAAATAGACACACTATAGTAAAATAAACACTTAAGTGTGTATTTTGTACGTTTTCCTTCCAAAAGCCTGAAAGAAAACATGTTATGGAATCAAAATAGCACAACATCTCAAAATGTACCAGTGCATGAAAAACGATGTTTTTGCCTGCCGTGTCTCGCCTTTAACAAACAATTTATGCGGCTCGTATCGCTGACAGCCGGGCCCGGCCGGGCACCGCCTTTTTTCTTCTTTTTTTTAAGCGGCCCCCCTCCCCACTTTTGGCAGCACCCCCTGAGCTAAATGACTTCCCGCGGCTATGTAATTTTCTAATCATAAATCTATCGATCATGAATCTATCGATTAGTTTTATGATTCGAAAATTATAAAAGTTATAAAAGTAGGGTAGACAAAACGTGATCTGTCTCTTCAATTTGTGTCAACCACAGACCTTATTTCGAGCTATTTTCCAAAATTCTATGGAGAAATTGCATTGGTTTTTGTAGAAGGAACCGGAAGAAGTTTACTTCTGGGTTTTAGGACACATCACTGTGGCACTCTATATAGGCCTGTTAACATTGCCATTAGGCGCTTTCACACCGGAGTACTTTTCCCAGTATAGTACCTTGAAATGTTGCGTTCACACCAAAAAAATCCGGAACTAACTTAGTTCATGAGAACTTTTTCACTCCCTTTTTAGTCCCTGCTAGAGAGCATGTACTTTCATGGGAGAAAAAGGTTCCTATTTCTGATTGACTGGGCGAATTGCAAACCACGCCCTGTAAAACTCTGAAAAGTTTTTTGAAGCCCCCATTTTATTTGCTTGCATTAACATAATTAGCATTAGCCCCGCGCACCAATGGAGAGACTAACTTATGGCAACACAAAAAAAACAAGGGAGCGGAGGAGTGATGTAGAGGTGTCGGCGTTCTGGCGATTTACTGTGAAGGCTTCAGGCTGTATTTGCCCCCCCCCCCCCCCCGACATTTCATGTGTCCAGACTGGGTCAGTTTCCAGGGCTGAATTTTAGTACCAGTGCGCCCCTGGGTACAGAAGAGAGCTTCCACTCAAGACTCAACACAAGAGTTTCGCCTAATTATAAAACGAATGAGCATGCAACTGTGTAGTGAAAACTAGCAGACTTAGGCAAAGACACAGCTAACATATCAACTGCTCTGCCCCAGGCAAGATGTGCCTTCTGGCACGCTTGTGGTCGAGTTAGAGCAGTGCCACCCATCCACCACAAATCTGTTATCGTAACTCAGATTTTCAATACATTCCCTCATGGGTTCTCTTTCATTACAGCCCTTACCACATCTGTATCAGGTGTCTGGGTGTGGGCAAGTGCTGGGATCTGTTTTTCATATTTCTGTAGATTTCCTGTCTCAGAACTTCTACAAACCTCCACTTTAGTCTTATAGTGTACCTGTGTTGACTGGTGTGGAACATTTGTTAAAAACCTCTTGATGGGGCCAAAGATTTAACTGAAAATTGAAATATTTTATACAAAATTGACTTAATATGGCCAGGGATTGCACGCTACCAGGATTTATGAGGTAGATCGGTAAATAGCAAAATGCTAGTGATGGTTACAATTATGATTCACATGCTCTCTTTAATTTCTTCTTGGTTGGTGCAAACACAATCTTAAAATTGGGTGAGGAATAAAAGAAGAAAATGTGTTAAAAGAGCAGTAGGAGGAGCAGGAATCCCTGATTTATGAGTAATGCTTTTCTGGAGTCTATTTTTGGAACGAAAGCTTTTGTTTTGATCTTATTGGTTTTGACAGCACAACGAATGCAGCAGGGGAGGGTGACGTTGGCAAACCCATGCTAAGTAAAATATCCCACCCTCCATATTCAATAGCGAGGCTTGGCTCTGGAAGTGAAGTCAACTTCAGGGTGATTTTGGACCAAATCCAACCAGAAGGCAGGATATGTCTGGTGGATATGGCTGAGGGGTGAAGAAACCTTCATCCAACACCTCAGACAGGAACACAATGTGACGCAGTTCATATCAGAGCTAATCAAAACTAATCTGTAGAGGAATTTACGCCAAAAAAAGTAGAATTAAATGAGTCCAAGACAGAGACAGCAGGGAATTTGAATAATTTCCCCGGTCTCCTCTTTACATTTCTTGCACTGAAGAGTCCTAACCGCAGTTAATGGGAGAGATCCCAGAGCATAGACTGCCATGTTTAATCATTGTCATGAGAAAAAACATGCCTTGAGGGAAATCTATAACAAATAGTTTTTAGTACAGTGATTTATCCACTGAAAAAAAGTCTGAGCCAGCATACCTTTTTTAAATTTGGATTATAAACCATCTGAGAGGAAAGGAAAAGGCACTTTAGGAAAAACTGGCCATGTGTCAGAACTCAAAAACACCTTGGCACTGTCAGTCACCGTTAATATTACCCGGAGAGTACTTTTTCCTTTCTTTCCGTAATCACAGGTCACCCCCCTTCAATAGCTCGGCCTCAGCTATTGGCCCGTTTGCACGTCTCCATCCCCACAATATGAATCTCACAGCAGTGACAGTGTTTACACAAAGGCTCCTCAGCCAGGGATCTCTTCGGCAGTTTTTACCACCAGGTTGCCCTCATGTCGTTCACACCCTGCTGGTCTTCATCAAGTCGACCGCAGCAGACGTGTTTTTTTTGTTTACTTATTAAAAAAGGGGTATATTCATCTTACTCGTCGCTCTGAGCCAGACCTGACCAAAACCCAGCTACCTCATCTGTATTAATGCAGTCCTTTCAATCAAGCAGGTCAAACTTTGCGGCGGCTGTTTTTTTCCCCAGCCCAGAGGAACACAGAGACACTGCCAATCGGCCCACTCACTCTAAGTGGTACCACTGAGCTCTCATTGCCTACCGCTAAGCCCCCCAATTAAAAGATTTATCTCACGCTAAAACCCTTCAAAATCCCTTGGAACACAACATGTACTCCCCCCATGTACTCCCCCCCCCCAATTTCCCTCCAACTTTATTTAACCATACATCAAAAAGCCCCACATTTTCCAGTCTAACTTTGTTGTGGCTTTTGCTTCTGGCCAGCGGATTCTATGAACTGTGCCAATTAACCCACAACTTATTCTGATGGTGCCACTGATTGGGTCCGTCTGCTAAGAGACATGATGCACCAACAATGATGGTTAACAAACACCAGATGTATACAGAATTTAAAAAACAAATATAAGTTACTTAAAATAGCTTAAATGGATACTTTAACTTCAGCAATGTACCATTACTCCACAGATTAATGGATGTCAAGGACTTTAATTTAAACTGAAACTAATTTTTCCTGTATTAACTTTGCTAAAATTATTAAATTGAGAGGTTTTTCTCATAGTGATGACGTGGAAATATGCAGATTTAACAGTGTGAAAAGTTTTCCAAAGCTTAAAAATGAAACAAAAGTTAATTTCCTAAGTAGCCTGATCACAGAAAAAAATAATTCTTACCTGTGTCAATGAGTTCAGTCCAGAAATTGCAGGTATTATACCCAGCCTTGGTGTCTCAGTTTTGATTCATACGCAGGTTCATGCTCTCCATTCTCCTCCTCTCACTCTCCGTCTGTCTTTGCTTTCATTTAGAATGAAGGCCTGCTACGGCACGGGCAAACACCGTCCACTAGGAGAACAGTGGAGGGTGGTCCGTGTACAGAAAGAGGGAGGCTGATGGTGTGACTTTCTCTGTAGTTGGAGCAGAGGGAAGGCTTGGCCCTGCCTTCTTCCTCTGAAAATCGGAAAGAAAAAAATATCTCCTCCTAATATAAAGTTTCACTACAAATAAATAACCGAACCGGATTGGCTGTGAATCAGCAAGAGTGGTGAAGACATTTCCAATCAGTCTAGCTGTCAGGCTTATAGGAGATGAGGAAATAAATGTCTCTCTTCCACACACAGCCTTGTTCAACTTCAATTTATCAAAGTCTACTTACTCGCAAAGCTGTTTCCCATCAGCTCTAATCTAATGACTGACTGATTCTGGCAATCCAGTAGTTTAAGCATATTCAATTTGCTCTTGTGTTTGCTCCGTATATGGGGTGTCTCCTGTGGCAATGCGAGGGCTTTTTGGCAGCTGTGTTTATTTGGTTACGAGGACAATATGCAGAGGGGCTTTGCAGAAAAAAATATAACGCCCTTCAGCTAAATGTTTTGGATTGAGGAGGAAGCTCAGGCTTTGATGCATGGGGATTCTCTGCGTGGGGAGACACTTCAGCATGTGGGAGGACAGATTTGCTTATGAGGACATAATGTAGAAGTGTTATTGCCTGTGCATGGGGCATGTATGAGAACATGTGTTTGTATGCGTGATTGGAAACGTGTGTCTCCATGGTGGTCGGGTGTATATAGAGGTCGCTTCATTTTAAATACATTATATGTAGAAGAACATGTGTTCGGAGGAAGCTGTTGAGGGAAGCTGAAAAATACATTTTGGGCTAATTCGATCCATGCATGGAAATCTTTATCTGCAACCCATTTAACAAGCCTGACCATTGTGTAGTCTAGAGCCGGTGTTCCCAACCTTTTTTCTCATGGGACTCCTTTCCCACCATTGAGTTAATTGACAACAACTGACCTAGTGACATATGTAGTCAATATTTCACATCATAGAATACTCCATGCACAGTAAAAATAGTACAGAACAACTTAAGAGCTATTTTTAGTCTGTATTTTCTTTTTCTTCCTTCTCCATGGCACTTTTCCTGATGTTTATTTAGCTGTTTTTTAAAGTTCATATCTTAAATGATAATCTGAACTTTCCAAAGAATCCAAATTATAAAAAAATATTCACAGACATGTATCAAATGCTGAGATCTAGGCTAAATGTATGTTTTAAAAAGTCCTACACCTCTAAAAATCTAGAAGGCCTTGCGCCCCTTGAAGCTTTGGCAAGCCCTAATAGTCGGGATTCCAGAGTAAGGAGCCAATGCAGTCATTACTTATGGACAAGTTTGCTGATTCTCTTTTTATTTTTAACCTATGCTATATTATTCCCCACATGTAACAGTTGATATGTATTTCGGCAAGGTAATGTCTTTCTGCACTTCATTAGTGTACCATAAATGTTGACTAATGAGACAACATTTATTTAGGTATTTAGGGACTCATTATTTAGTATCGAATTTGACATTTGACTACAACTAACATAAAATAATAAAGTTACTCTCTCTCTCTCTCTCTCTGAGCCCCTCCTTGTGGCTAAACAAGTCTATTACCGCCTGCACCTTCACAGTTATTGCAGGTACACTACTTTGCTCTTTGAAAGATATACTGACTTTATGCAGTAGAGGAAGAAATATTCAGACAGAAGTAAAAGTCCTGCATTCAGAACATCACTTGAGTGAAAGTAGGTCAGTATTATTAGAAAAATGTGTTTTCAGTATTAAATGTAGAAGTAGGCCTAATTATTACACAAAAAAAGGTCCAAGTGTGTGTTTTTCCAAATGTATGATGTTTTTGGAATGACATTACTGCAATAATGCGGGTGTTTTTAGCTAAAATCATATGTTTGTATTGTTGCTGTCTTGAGAGAATCACATATTAACTTTATAAAGTCCAATTATGACTTTAATTAAATTATTAAAGAGTTTTCTGAGAGTTTCTCAGAAAACAGCCCTGTTTTTGGCTTAGTGGCGATGCATTTTTCAGCTAATCCAAGAGGGTTTTCAATAGTTTATTTTATTTAAAAAGTGGGACAAGGTTCCCAACTCATAAAGGAACTCTAAATATTTGTTGTTTATTTGAGAAACTACAATTATATATCACCAAATCTGGAGATAGATTGTTTTCACAGGACAGAAAGGGTATGACAGATTGTTAGCTAAACAATAAACAAGTAACTAACGCTGTCAGATAAGAATAAAGTAGGCTATGCTGCCTCTAGGATGGTGTTGATGATGTCAGCATAGCATACATGTAAAAAGATCAAACTGTAACACACGGCGGGTGCTGGTCAAGTGTTAACCAATGAGAGTAACTCACTCACACACACCCCGCCGCGGCCCCGCCAAACAACAACAACGAAAGTCAGCCAATAACGCAGGCGACGCAACTGCGGTCAACTCAGCCGTCTCTCGCGTTTGCTTGGTCAAATGAGCAGTTCTTCATCTTTGAGTGCGCGATTTATAGCGCGTTTACGGTAATTGCCGAGATGTGATGGAGAGATAATACAGTTTTTTTGCCACTAAGTCCTCAGTTTAAAAGTGTACTGCTGGTACTTTTTAGACTACTACCACAAATACAATCAAGTACTTTTACTGTGTACCTTTTGAGTAATCCCCTGTCAAACTCCCATGCAGAGTACAATAATGCATGTTTTCTGCCATCTTTGATGAGAGATAAAATCATTTTTTGCCATAAGTTCTCAGTGAAAGTGGTACTGCTGGATAGAGTGCTACTAGGACTACCACCAAAAGTACAATCAAGTACTTTTATAATGTACCTTTTGAGTAATACCCTGTCAAACTCCCATGCAGAGTGCATGTTTTCTGCCATCTTTGATGAGAGAGAAAATCATTTTTTGCCATAAGTTCTCCCGAGTGAGGGACAAAAACGGGCAGTGTCGTGTACGTGCGAGTGTTATGTATGTTTACGTGTGTGTTTCGGGTGACGGTCTTCATGTGAAGGCAGTCGTCAAGATTAAAAAGTGTGTTGACAAGGTTAATGTCGAAAAGTCACGAGGTTAGGTACACTCTTCTGCTTTTTTTGGGGGTTCAAAAAATGACTACTCTTCAGCATATTTATCGTCAGTGTCATGTGTATGAGTGTGTCTGTGATATTGTGTATATGTATGCGTACGTCGCGAGAGTTAGTCGAAGTCCCTCCATACTTATAAACGTAGCAGTGTTGGACGTGCGCGAGTCGGGACTATGCCTTCTATTCGACCGGCTTTCAACGCTACTGCGTTACGACTGGTGGCTGAAGGGACACCAATAATAGCCACTACCGTCAAGGTTATCATCTCTAGTGTCATGTAGAAGTGACTCTAATACGTTTTTGTGGAAAAAGTGAGAGTTCTACCGTCTTTGTACTAATACATTCGAGACGTACCCTAACTGTCCAATAATGAGTTTTCATGTGCTATTTCATGAATTACATCAATACCACATAAGTTCCTTGGCTCAGGTGACATGTAGGAAAGGACATGAATTACGTCTTACTAAAGATGAGAGAGTTACTCGTAGTACGAGACGACCCTCCAAACGTCCCATCATGAGTTTCGTGCTATTTAGAACTACCATAACAACCCATCAGGATAGTGTGAGATAGGTTAATCGTCATCGGAGAAGTGACTGAATACCGTTGGTACTTAATAGAGAGTGTTCCACGCTTGTACGTAAAAATGGGGAGTACCTTCAACTGTCCCATAAGGTTTCCAGTTGCTATTTTCATGAACTGACATGAACACACACCATCAGGATTATCGTGAGATAGGTCGTCATGGTGAAAGTGACTCTTGAATACCGTTTTTACTTTAAAATAGAGAGTAGTTTCTACCGTCTTTTGTACGTGAGACGTACCCCAAACTGTCCCATAATGAGTTTTCATGTGTATTTTCATGAACTGACATGAACAACACCATCAGGATCATCGTGAGATAGGTCGTCATGGTGAAAGTGACTCTTGAATACCGTTTTTTACTAAAATAGAGAGTAGTTTCTACCGTCTTTTTGTACGTAATAACATGAGACGTCCACTCAAACTGTCCCATAATGAGTTTTTCATGTGCTATTTTCATGACTAACATAAACACCACCATCAAGTTTATCATGACCTAGGTTGTCAAGTAGAAAGTGACTCTGAATACCGTTTTTTACTAAAATAGAGAGTAGTTTCTACCGTCTTTTGTACGTAATAACATGAGACGTACCCTCAACCTGTCCCATAATGAGTTTTCATGTGATATTTTCATGAACTAACATGAACACCACCATCAGGATCATCTGAGTTAGGTCGTCATGGTGAAAGTGACTCTTGAATACCGTTTTTTACTAAAATAGAGAGTAGTTTCTACCGTCTTTGTACGTAATAACATGAGACGTACCCTCAAACTGTCCCATAATGAGTTTTTCATGTGCTATTTTCATGAACTAACATGAACACCACCATCAAGTTATCATGACTCAGGTTGTCGATA